AAAGAGGAGCCTGGGAAATTGCCCTCAGTCATAAAGCAGGCAAAGAAATCCTTACAGTGCGTGCTGCAGTGCTCCAGGCTTGCCAGGGGAGCTCAGCAAATGCACTCATCTGCAACGCCAAGGAAAAGCCTGGGAAGGAAGAAGGATGTCAAGAAAGCAAAGCAAACACCACTTCTGGGCCCCAAGGCTATGACTAAGAGCAAGTGTGCTTCTTCCGGCTGGCCTCTTGGTTGCTTCTCAAAAGCCTAATGTTTGCTCTGAGAATTAAACCTTCTGATCTTATTTTCATAGTTTTTAGCCACTTCCTTAGGACAGTAACTATACACATAGATGTTTATACATTCCATTGCAGATATGTCTTTTAATAGATATTTCTCACAACCAGTGTGGTTGGGAAGCTAGTAACCTAACTATCCAATCCCTGGTCATTGTCGAGGATCTATAAATACTGAAACAACAGAATAAATCTCTCTCTTTTTCTATCACACATTGAGCTGTTTGTGTGAATCATTTTGTGTCCAACAGCGACACCTAACTTCTTCCATGACACCTGAGGGACAAAAGAAGCAAAGCAAATGCATTTCCGGCAGTATTGCAGTGTGCACCTCCTTCTTGAGCACGTGGGTGCCTGCAGACGTTGGCTGTGACTCCGCTGGGAGCCCAAGCTCCCTTTGGGTCAGGGAGGTGTTGGCTTATCTCCTGACACGAAGCTCCTCTCTTCCCGCGTGCCGTTTCTCTGGGAGATTAAGGCCAGAGAACACCCAGAGGAGCTGTCCACTGATTGTCGGGCTGCCTCCATTTTGTTGTGTTGGAGCTCGGGCAGCATCCTTTTGTCCAGTGCTCTGCAATGCACTATAGATATCAATCCCAAAGATGGCTGTCCAACAAAACAAAAATGCTACAAGAAGTTACGAAAGAAAGGCCTTGAATAACCATGGTTCATATATTTTCTTCACCAAAACTTTATTCATGTCACTTTGGTTTGCCAAGTTTAGCTTATTACACCTGGACCTCCCTTTTGATGTGAACTTGGAGGCCTTGTCCGGGAATGGTTCTCTATGCCCTCTATCTTAGTCAAGGCTTGCAGCTGCTGCAGTCTTTTGGTGATGGTACAGTATTTTAGGGAAATGATAATACCATCCTATCTCTCATGTGCTGCTGATTATATTAATTATCTTGGTCATTTCTGCTCAGTGTGAGTTTATTGCTTTACCACATGTGTTGTTTTACTTTAATGTTACCTGCATGTCCAATAATACATGTTATTTGAAAAAAAACTACAAAGAAGTAGGAATATGGCTCTTTAAAAAATGTTTAAATAATGCAATATTTACACTAGAAATTTTAAAAGCAGATCATCATATTTTATCCCCAGCACAGTGATGCTGCTCTGAGGATTTGTTTATGCAGAACCAATTTCTGAAGCCTTTTACATAAGGATCCCAAACTGAGTCTGCACTGGCATGCCCTAGCTGCTTTACTAACCTAGGGAGAAGCTATGCATGTGTTATATTCCAAACAAGTCTAAAGGGGTTATCTGGGGTTACCTGCACATCTGGACAAATATCAATTGCCTCCATGAAAATGAGACCCAATGAGAAGAAAAATGACCTAATCACCATCCAGCCATCATGGCCAAGACAGCAACAGAAGTAAGACTGCCAGGACATGTCTGTGTCTAGAGACTTACAGATTCAGCCTGCCAAGAGAAGCCTTATGACCTACTGCACTCACCATCATAGTAATGTGTTCCTACCAACCTTCTTCAGTTTTTCCCTGTTTCAAGCTTTCAGAAAGACATTTAGTAATGTCAAAGTCAACACTTCCAGCTAGGGGACTTCCTCCTGCCTAAACAGCATAGCCCCTGAACTCCAGCCAGTAGTTGGAGCAGTAGTTATTTATTTCCACTTCCTAGGAGACCTTGGACATTACCTTTTTGTTCTCCTATACTGCAAGACTCTTTGTCAGTGACATGATTGTATTTGATGAGGTTTTTATTGACTGTGATCTGTATTCCATGTGTCTTATCCTGTATCTAACAGACGACCAGTAATTGTCTTAATAAGATCATGACCTTACAGGTGGAAACTGTTTTAACATCAGGATACACAAACCCTTTGCATAAAAAAAAAAAAGGCAGGGGGAACTGTCACATATAGGTAAAACCTCACAAAAGAAAGGCCTTGTAAAATTGTGATTCAGGCTTTGTTACTTCAACTAGCCTTGTTGCTTTGGCTAAGTATAGCTAACAGCTAGCCTGTTAAGTTCCTGTGAGAAAATAATTTTTACAATGAGAATTAGTTTGTTTATCAATCTATTCCTGTGGGAACTGATTGCACCTGTGAAGAGAAAGATTTTTACCTGTGAGAACTTGTTCCTTATCCAGGAGATAAATATGTAAGCAGTGATAGAGAGAAAAATTTTGATTGACATGTAGACTTGCCATTACCAACCAATGAACTGAGTTACTAACTAATTAGAATTAAACATAAACTCTGATAACAGTATAAATATAAGCTGTGTGCAGTAACGATTCAGCTATGATGGAAGAAGAAACAGGTGTCTCTGTCTCTACTGTGACAGAAAACCACATTTGAACAGTCAAAATCTGCAGTCTCACAGACATATGCCCAGTTCCATGTTCCCTGGAAGATTCCTTGCAGACATTTGGATTGCCACAGCCCAATGAAAAGGAGACACCTTTGTTCTCTTCTCTTGCAAACTCCCAAGTTTAGCCCAGGAGATATCTTGAAAGCAAAGGTAATGGGTAGAAGAGGGGAAAAAGTGCATGCAGCTCCTCCAAAAATCAACTCTGTTCACCCATGGAATAATGATTCCAGGCTTAGCTTGCTTTCCTGGTGACTCAGGACAGACACATCCTCTGCTGGTGGACATCACAGTGTCTTTGAGGAGCATTCCACTGGGTTCTTCACACTTTGGATTCACAGCATTGGATTGCATTTCTACGAGGAGGAACACCTGAAGAGAGCATGTGAATAGGAAATAGGTTTGCCTTAGCATCCCAAGACATGCCAGGTATTTTTAGTTGTGAGCAGAGTTTTCACAAGTAATGGTGACTTGAAGACATCCCAGGGTTAGATTACCCATTCTGAGTCACAGCAGTGCAGAGCGACTTTTCAACCCAACTCTTTCAAAATGAGGAATTACCAACCCAAATGGATTATCTCAAACTTCTACATATTTACCTCTGCTTTGCAAGCAGAGTTTCCGTAAAGCTTTTTGATCAACACACACATCCTCTCATTTCCCCTACTTTGGCCTTAAACATTAAAGTATACCACCTGGTTTTGAAATGCAATTCAAATGCAACTGTTCCTGCTCCTTTGTATAATTTTTCTTGCATGAGGTAGAAATACTCAGTTATGCTCGTTATAGCATACTTGTTATTGTTGGACTGAAAAGAGACCACAGGAACTTCTCCCAGCAGTAGAAAGTATGTAGAATAGCATTATAAAGATGCTCTGGCTATATTTATGCTTTATATATAACTTTATTATATTTTTACTTTAGAATGTTACCTAGTAGGGCTTCAGCTCAATTCAGCAATTTCTTTTCAGCAGTTTAGTTTTCATGTAAGACTGGACAAGGAAAGCAATCACTTAGGAAAATGAGTTTTCCAGTACATGTGCAATAATCTTACATCTGGCTTATTTTTGAAAAGGTCTGAAATGGCTCCATCTCATTTACTAAGCCCACAAGAAACTTAGTTTTTCTTGAAAAAAAATTAATCTGATTGATTAAATTACAAAAGGCCTCTGAAACACTACTCCAAGGTACTACATACTTCCAGGACCAATGGTAGATCCCTGCTTTAGATGGATTCCTCAAAATTAAAATAGAGTATCTTGGGGACTCTGGAGTTCAACTCCAGAGATATCATAGTCAACAGTCACAGCTTGAATTATAGCTCCCATCAGTTACAAAATAAAATAAAAGTCTTCCATGTATGTATAATTCAAAGATGAGAAGGAAGGGAGGAAATGTGCAGGAAGATTCTGAGAGGAGGAAAAAAAATAATACTACTTATCCTTGTCCATTATTCTACCTGAGTGAACTCATTGCTTTTAAATAATAAGGGTTATATTACAAAATTATCAGCCAAATTTAAAAGGTTAACTTAACAGCTTAATGTTCCTTCCTTCCCATACCACTGCTCTGGGTATGGGGAACATTGTCACTTGTTTCTAATGCAATAGAGGAATATATTACTTCAAGTGGATTCTGCCCAAGAATACACTGTGGGGTATTCTAATTAGTAATTAAAGTTGCAAGAACCGAGAACTTTGTCAGAAGTTCTATTTTTTCCATAGTTTTTGATTCTTGATCCAAACATTCCTTTGACAAGCCAGATTGTACCTGGGATTAATTTCTCAAATACACTCATGTTTCAATATGTCCAACTCTCTCAGCTGCTGAGGGTTAGACATTTATACATTTACTCAGACCCCAGTGCTGGAGGACTACCCTGAGGCACCTTCTATAAGACCTGGGAAGATGTCTGAGTGACCAAAAAGCTTACTCTATTCCATATCTGTGTCCAAATACTGTTTCTGTGTGTTTAAGGCCTGGTGGCACAGGCAGAGCCAGAACTGCAGGGCAGGTGGAGGTGATGCTGCTCCCTTTAAAAAGGTTGGAGTACCCGGGCAGAGTGCATATTTTGCCTTTTGGCTTGCTCTCTTGCCTTTTGCCTCACTTGTTTCTTGGCTTTTGCCTTAGAACTGAGGGATCTGGGCAGAGGCTTCCCTTTTTGGCCTTCTTTAGCCTGATGTCATATTGCCAAAGGCAGAGGGGTGTTTAGGGCAGGCTTTTCTGGGCTCACAACAATAGCAACTTGGCAAAGCTGCATCTCCCAACCAGAAACTGTTTCACAGTGACCTTTTCAAACCCTATAGTGAATCTTGAACCAGCCAGGGGCCCAGCCACCCCATGTCAGTGTTAACAGACAGCTTCTTCCCCCCAGCCACAGGCACAGCACAGGGGACAGCAGCACCAGCTGGTGGAGTCCGTTAGGTGGCAGGAGGAAGCAGCTAGTGGCAGTGCTGACCCCACACATGATGGCTCTTCTCATCTGCCACTAGAACTGCTCTGTAAGTTCCAGCACTCCTGGGGGGGTTTGCTGCCACTCTTTCCCTTTATCTCTCAGAGTGTATGGCCACCTATAAATGCCACTGTATTGAGAGGAAGGTCAGACGCCATTTTCCCTTTGTCTCCCTGTGTCAGGCGCCATCTTGGAAGGGGTATTTCCACCATTTTGGGCTTCTTCTTTTTCTGGGGGGGGCTTGTGAGATTTAGCAATTTGATATCTAGTGATTATTTACTGGAGATTTTTGCCTGTTTCAGTTTTGCTTGTCAGTAAACTGCTATTTTTTCACTTATATCCACTTGTATTTAGTGTCTTCTTATTGGTGGAAAGGGACTGCTTAAAACAAAGGGGGAGAGCTCATTTTAGACTGTTCTCCTTTAAATTTCTTTAGGTAAAGTCAATTGAGGGGCTTTGGCTACAACCCTAGGCAGAGGGGTCTGCCGCCACTGCCCTCCTCGGCTCCTACTGGGGCTAGTCTCACTCTGTGAGGACAGGCACTGATGGTGGGGAACTGCAGCTTCCCCATCAGGTCAGCCTCTGATGTATCAGATTCCACCTCCATGTTGGAGCTTGTAGAGTTGCTGGCAGAAATTCCCTTGTAGGAGCTGCTGGAGCTGGAGCTGGCAGACCTGGTGCTGGCTGAAGGCATGTGGGTTTCCTCCTCATCAGCATGGGAGTGCAGCAGCCTCTCAGCTTCCTCGCTGCACTGGAATTGATGACATTGATGGAGCCGTGAACCAGTTGTGCAGTGCCTTCCCTGAGGCTGTTCTGCAGCCTCAGGACCAAAGTCTGACACATCCAGACACAGACACAGAGATCATTCAGGGTGCTGCTCTCTGCAGCCTGTACCAGCCACCACCTGCTCTGGAATATTCTCTGCAGCCTTTGGCAGAGCCAGGGCAGCACGGGGTGCAGGAGACACTGTTGTCATTGGGAAAGTTCTGCCCATACCTCAGGCAGGATGTCACCCATGCCCACTGAGATATGGATAGTGTCTCCCTGTGGAGAAGATGGAGGGGACAACACGGGGTAATTGCAGCCATTTTTCCCCCCTCACTGGGGCCACTGTCAACTGTCCAGGAGTTCCTCCTGCCTGGCTGCCGGCTTCTGGAGACTCTCTGGAGAGAGTGATTACACACTGTAGATAGTCCCATTCACTCTGTTCAGAGAACCCAATAGATCTTATCAGTGTTCTGCAGAGTGGGCACAATGGATTTCTTAGTGTCCATCACAGGATACAGCCCAGGCAGAACTGGTGGTGATAGGGCAGAGCAGAAGCTGTGTCATTCTGAGTGCCCTGGCAGATAGAATGTGATAGTTTGGCATTTAGGAAAAAAAGTGGGAAATACTCCAGTTTGTTTTCATGGCCATTTCTGTGCCATGCAGCATGCTGAGGGGAGCTGAGGACCAAAAGCTGCTCCCCCTTGTTGGTGTCACACAGGCCAGTGTGTGACTGTATGAGAGCCCTCCTGATTGTCCCAGGCAAGGGAAGAAGAAACACCCAGCCCTGTCAAGAAGGAAACCATCTGGGGTGCCTGAACCCAATCATCCATCCCACTCTAGAGGGGTGTTTTCCTGCACAGCCAGCCTTCACTGCTGCAAATATCTGTGGTACCCCAGTGACTAAGCCAGGCAAGGCCAGTACTGATGGCTGCAGGATGAGCACCAAAAGCTGCCAAAGGCAGCCCCCAGTACACCACCCAGCACTGCGAGAAGCCTGGCTAGACCTTCCAGACCTTGCTCAGCAGGAGTCGAGCCTGGAGCCAAACTGAATTCAGTTCTGTCAGTGCACAAATACATTTAATGAGAGATGTGATGTCACAATCCGTCCCCTAATGATGTTACAATCTGACACTTGGGATGTCACCTTCTACTGCTCAGTGATGACATCATGGGATGCTCCTCCCTATAGATGCATGGTGCCAGGAGAAAACTTAAGGACCAACTGTTGACTGATGGTCACCTTATCAACTAGATGATGACACCAAGTGCCACATCCAGCTGTTTCTTGAACACCCTCAGGGACAGTGACTCCACCATCATCCTGGGCAGTCTGTCCCAATGTTTAACAACCATTTCCATTGAGAAATTCTTCTTGAACTTACCCTGAAACAGCTTGATGCTATGTCTTCTGGTCTGTCACTGGTACCCTGGGGAAGAACTCAGCCCCACTTTGCTACAGTCTCCTTTCAGTTAGTTGTAGAGAGTGATAAAGTCTCTTAACACTTTATCATGTCAGGCTAACACAGCAGCCTTCTACAACACGATGACTGCATCAGTGGAAAAAAGAGAAGTCACAGAAGTCATCTACCTGGACTTTTGTTAGGACATTGACACAGTCCTCTGCAGTATTCTTGCAGCTAAATTGGAGACACATGAGTTTAATTAATGAAATAGTCAATGTAAAAGTAATTGGCTGGATGGCCACATTGAAAGAGTTACAGTCAATGTCTCAATGTTCAAGTGGAAATCAGTAGCGTGATCTATATTCCTGTGAACAAGAAATAGGAAAATAAGGAACATCCAGGACTCACTTGAAAATGTTAGAAAGAACCACTCTCTTAAAGCATGAAGTATTGATTTAGAATTTGCTCTTGTCCTCAGCTTTCCAAATCACAAAATTTCTTGAGATTTAGGATTTGCACTCTACTAGCGTAAAAGAGAGTTGTAATACTAGCCTTTGAAAATGTAAAATCCAGTCCCTCACAAATTCTGTAGAGGTAACTGCCCTGACCTGGTAAAGGGCCTCCACTTACAACATCTAAACTTTTACAGCAGAAGGTTGAAAATCTGTTTTCCATAAGCTCCTAAATTATTGCTAATCTCTCTAATTACTCTCTAGTTGCTAATGTCAGTTGCTTCCTACCTGCCTAGTACAGAAAAATTAAACCACAAAAACCCCATAATTCATTGTTCTGCTGTTACATGGCTCCCAGCAGAAGGGCATAAACTAGTGTTTATTTAGCCTGGGAATAAAAGTTCTACCATTTGTATAAACAGGCAGATGTCTTTTTAGGCACAAAGTTGTTCTACAAAGCAAATTTTAAGGATCTATGTCAAAATCAGCCAAAGCAGAAGTTAACGTATACAGATCGTAGATATAGAAAAATTGTGTTAAATTAAATTTTTTTTTTTTTTATTTGGGGGTTTTTAAAAAACATTTCTGAGAAAGAGTAAAGCTACTTTACATCACAGAACAACTGAACTTGAGGTTAAAACCAAATGTGAAAAAGATAGCTTTTACCGAACTTTCATTCTGATCGAAAGGAATTTAGAATGGTTTATACAGCAGTTAAGTAGAATTTCAATATCTGATTAGCATCAAGACTGCATGTTCATCTCAAAAGGAAAATTTGTAATTGAATTTGTTTGAAAAGTACTGAAACACATGACTTTGGAATGGTGTGAGTGACTATATCTGTCATACCCATTTGGAAATGGGATCTCTCCCTAATGAACACCCCATAATATGGAACACCTTGGGAGGCCAAGACTAATTTTTTTTCCATCCAAAATTAAACATTTATTTGGATTGCCCCAAATATTTCAAGGTTTAAACAAAATTCCTTTTTACTTCAGAGGAAGTGCAGAAGAATGGTTGTGACTCCCTTCTGAGGGAAAGAAAGGGTCCAATATGCCAACTGGACCCATCCCACAGGGAATCAGAGGTATCTGGATGTGCCACTTGGGGATACAGTGTAGGAGCGGTTATAGTGGTGCTCTGTTGATGATTAGACTAGATGACCTTGAAAGTATCATTTAACCTTGATGATTCTGTATAATTCTGTGTGATTTATCAGAAAGCTGCGTTTTTAATCAGAAAAAACACCACTGAGAAATACTTCAGCTGTTACAGCACAACTTTGATCTTCTCAAGTAGAGCATTGTTATGGAGTTCAGGCTAAGAATGAGAGCATTTGAGCTTTTCTTGCTAGGGCCAGCAGAGAGCACGGGGTCAGTTGGTATCACAGCAGAACTGGGCATTGGAGTGGGTCACTCTCTCCTCTAGTTTCTGGCACTTTGCTTTTTCCTGGGGTGATAGTGACAGCTACCCTCTGCACTGTCCATTTGCTCCCATTCTTCCCTGTGTAAGGCTACTGGCCAGGTGAACTCGCCTCCTCTGGGAACATGTTCTTGCCATCCAGGGAAATACTTTGGGCTGAGTCCTATCTACAGGTGTCTCTATCAGAATAACCCTGTGGGCTAACAGCACCCCACCTGATCAGTAAAGCCGACAAGGGTCAATGGCCATGAGGATACAGCACAGCAGTCGGGCCTGTTTAGTTATGGTGTTTGCTGCTTGCTAAAAAATAGTTGCAAAGCTACAACTTTTCCAGTGTTTCCCATACACTAGCATTCTCTGTGTTCAGAGCTACCTGTGGCAGGTATTTTGAAGAAATATCAGAAAAAAACATGACATGCTTAATGTGGCTTTTCCTTTCCTTCTTTAACTGCCTTTTATATTTTTTCCTGCTCTCTAAAGTGTATCAACCACTATATAAGCTGAATGTGTCTGAAAACACTTTCCAGAGTTTCAGAGAATATTGTGTTTAAACCTTTTTTCCATGTTTTGGGTTTTTATAATTTTGGTTGGTTTTAGGTTTGGTTTTGCTTTGGTTTAATTTTGGGGTTTTTTTCATTTATTTGAAATATACCAGCAGTATGAACAGTGCTTTCGGTATTACCTACTTTTCCTATTCATAATCTGTTATATCTTTCCCTTTCTTCCTCCTCTCCTCTTAAAATACTCATTTTTACATTAATGCATAGGGGCTGCTTTTTTCCCCCTTGCTTAAACTGAATTCTAACTGCATTAAGGAAATTTTACTGTCTGATCTTTTAGGGGCTACCCTTGGCAGTCAGACTCCCACCACCAGAGACCTTAATTTCTGGAATCAAGGACCCTTTGCTGGTAAGAAGGTATTCTACTCAGCACTATTGGAGTTTTCCTCATCTTGCATGAGGAATGCCTAGCCAATTTTTCACTCATGACTCCTCTATAAGCATGACTGGTGTTTTTTCAGAACTTGTTCTGTCTGTGTGAGAAAGCACTACTACTACTATTCTGATGGGACTTGCAGGGCTGGGGAGAGTCCAAGGGCAGAGGGCCTCCTCTTTGGGGGATTACTGGGACACCCATGGAGTGCAACTTATGACATGCTGTCATGTTGGTCTTAGTATCATGGAGGTGGACCTATTGTGATGTTACAGGGTAATGGAAGCAGATCACTGGTAGTGTTCTGTGACACCACCATGTTGGATTGTCTCATTGCGTCCCATATTGTGTATATTTGGAAGCTACTAGAGCCTGGCTTAGTCTGGATTATGCCTGGACTTCTGTTGAACACGTCCATGCGGTCTGCAGGGTCAAGCCAGGCTTTTCCAGTGCTGCCATTGGCAGCTTTCAGTACCCATCCAGGTACCCTCAATAGTGTTTCTCCACCCTTGCCAGGCTCAGGCAGCTGAGCACTGCAGAGGTGAGTTGTGGAGGGAATGTTCCCCTGGGGTGGCCACAGAATGAGTGCTCAGTCCTGGAGGACTGGGAGGGTCCTTCTTGAGGGACCTAAGCATTTCTTCCTCTCCCTCCCCAGGACGACTAATGACCATGGCATCTCCATTTTGCAGTGTGTGACATCTTTTTGGAGTGCCAGCGCCAGCAATGGGGAGCATCTTCTCATTCTTAACACAATCCAGACCACCAAAAGGCATAGACAGGGCCACAGAAACAGAGTGGAACTGTCCCATCTGCCGTGATGCTCGAGATGACCTTGCTTATGTGGTGCCTTGTCTCCATCAGTTCTGCCTGGCCTGCATTATGCGTTGGGCAGAGATGCAGAGGGTGTGCCCACTCTGCAGAGAAGTGATAGAGGCTGTCAGATTTTCTGTGCAGACAGACAGCTATATAGACTGTGTCTTCACAAGTTCTGAAGAGTCAGCAAATGGCAGTACCAGGACAGCAATAACTCTAGGACAGCTGGTTAAAAACAGCCCCTTTGTGCAGTCCCCTTCACGTACTCCACGGGGGATACTATCCATAGCAGAGCATGGGGGCACAGGAACACAGCCCGTGGGTGGCCTCCCACCTAGAGCGTGGGCAGAACTTTTCCAAAGAGATGAGCATCTACTTGATCCTGTGGTGCCCTGGCTGCGCCAGGAGCTGGAGGCAAAGTATGGGACTAGGTGGTGGATGGCAAGGATTGCGGAGAGCATCATCCTGCATGCCGTGTCCATCTGTGGTCCAGCTAGGAATGTCTTGGCCCACGTGCTGGAGGACTTCCTTGAGGAACATACAGAACCTCTAATCGATGGCGTCATCAGCATCATTGTGAATGAGTGCACACAAGAGGCCCAAAGGTTGCTACACTCCCGTGCTGTCTCAGAGAACAATCCTGTGTCCCTCTCTAGCAGACTTCAGATGGAAAATACTGCTCCCCACCCAACCCCTGCCAGCACCTCTGCAGCCTCCAGTGAGGAGCTCCAACCTCAGAGCACATCAGAAACTGTCCTCCACACCCTCCATCCATCTACCCCCATCCCTGCAGAGCAGGAGGAGCTGGGGGAGGAGGCAGTAGCAGAGGAACCTGCCAGGGAGGAAGACAACAGCACTGTGGCCATCTCCACCGGCCCTCAGGAGGATAATATTGCCCCACAGGCAACCCCTACCAGAAACTCTGCAGGGTCCAGCATGGAGCAACCCAGCATATCAGAGGCTGTCCTCCACACCCTCCACCCATCGGCTCCTGTCCCTGCAGAGCAGGAGGAGGTGGAGCCAGCAGCAGTGTCAGATCCCTCTGCCCAAGATGACAGGCAAAGCCTCTTCACTCCCAGCCAGGGTAGGGACCCCTTGCCCAGGAGGCCTCAGCGTTCCACAAGGAGGAGGGCTGCCAGCCATCTGGACTCTCCCCAACCTTGCAAGAGGCCACCTGATCAGCAGCAGTAGCAGGGCAGCAGTAAGCCTTTATTAAAGAAAAAAGAAATAAATTTCTATATCCCTGGTAAAGTCTCTAGGTGCTGCTTTCTCTCCCTTCTATCTTTCCCTGATTCTGCACACCCACATCAGCCAAGGGCCCTGGAGATCTAGGATATTGGGAGTACCTCCTCTCACAGGAATTCCTACTGCAGCCACAGCAATTGAAGTGTTTCCAAAAAAAGTCAGGAAAAGGAGTATTGCATTTGCAAAGAAGAATGTTCAAAATCAAGGCTGCTTGTGCCTATGCCCAGGTGGCATGACCGTGCTGCTCCCTGCATTGCATTTCCATGTGCAACTGAGGGGACAGAAGGGGGCCCTGCAGCTACCTAGTCAGAAAGGTTACTGGGAAAACAGACCATGGAGCTTCAGAGCAAAACTTCTCTGCATTCAAAGACTGCTCTGTAGGGATTACCAGAGCTCTGTAGCTGGTCATAGAATGCTCTCAGAGAAGATTTGCTCTGGCGAAAAGAGAATGGTGGTTTTGAGGCTCCTTGAAGAGCTGCACTTTTCATGGAGGAATGTTGTTCACTGAACACTCTCCTCAGTTGAGCCCCTGACTGATCCTCAAGAACTGTCCAATGACTTTCTTGGTAGATTTTTTTTTCATGTAGGAAAGAGATAAACTTTTAAAACAGAAAAAGAGAAAAAGGAATTTTTTTGCTAGGCAAATTACAGCCACAGAAGAAGAAAACTATGATCAGAATCACAGAATCATGAGGTTGGAAGAGACCTTTAAGATCATTGAGTCCACCCCATGCACTAACACCTCAAATAAATTGTGGCTCTGAGTGCCACATCCAATCTGTTTTTAAACAGGTCCAGGGATGGTGACTCCACCACCTCCCTGGGCAGACGATTTCAGTACTTTATCACCCTTTCGGTAAAAAATCTTTTTAGGAAGGGTATAGAAGCTCTAACAGAAGCATATACAACTAAGGCAGACATGTCTAGCATGTCAATTTACTATTGTCTCCTAGGCAAAAATGATGCCTCTAATCTATTTTATGCACACAATTGAGGAACTAGAATACTCAGTTATTGGAATCTCAGGTATTGAAATACTGGCAGCTCTACAAATACTGGCAGCTCTACAGAAACCTCATGCGCTTCAGTGAAAATCATTTAGGAAAGCAGGAAAAGGAAAGCATTCATTTTTCTCTATTGATGCAGATGGCATAAAAAGAAACACAGATGAGGCAGTAAGCTTGACATCAAGTAAGTATATTTGTCAAGAAGTGTATCCAATTCATGATAGGATGACAGCAACAAATAGAGTAACTTTTCAAGTCAATTGGGCTAGATCATGAAAGAGCTACTCCTAAACCCAGCTGTTTCCTCAGGCAGTCCATCCAGACACTGGAGAAAGATCAATGTCTTAGTGATGATGACACAAATAGACCAGAAGACATGATAAAGGAGAGCAAGTCAGCATAAATCCTAAATAACTTCACTGTAGTAGAAAAGTAGGAATGGAAAACATGCTGCCTTCACTGACTGGAAATTCCAATGATTCACTTGGAGCAACTGTATGAGCAGCAATATACTTCTCCCCCTCAAGACAAATCAGTTTATTTCTTACAGTTCTGCTTTTTCTTATGTGTATATATATTCAGGCATAAGTATGTACTTTTTCCACCTGCTGAACAAGAGGCTGGAAAGCAGCACCTTGGAAAGGCACCTAGGGGTCCAGGTTGATGTTGAGTTGAACATGAGCCAGCAGTGCCCTGGCAGCCAGGAGGGCCACCATGGGGTGCATGAGGCACAGCATCGCCAGCTGGGCAAGGGAGGTGATTGTCACGCTCTACTCTGCACCACAAATGTATTAATGTTAAACAAATGTTCAACTGCTACAGAATGTCCAAGTAGGGACATGAGATTGGTGGTGGGCCTTAAGGAGGAGCCTTACGATGAATGGCTGAAGTCACTTGGCTTGTTTAGCCTGGAGAAAAGGAGTCTGAGGGAAGATCTGAACCCAATCTACAATTTCATTTGTGAGGGGAAGAGGAAGGCCAGGCACTGATCTCTTCTCTGTGAAGACAAGTGAAAAGGCCCAAGGGAATGGCCTGAAATTGTGTTAAGGGACATTCAGGTTATATATTAGAAAAAGATTCTTCACACAAAGGGTGTGGGCACTGGAACAGGATTCTCAGGGAAGTGGTCACAGTACCAAGCCTAAAGGAGTTCAGGGAGCATTTGGACAATATGTTTGAGCACATGGCATGACTCTTATGGATGCCCTGTGCAAGGCCAGGAGTTGGACTCAGTGATCCTTGTGGCTTCCTTCCAAAGCAGAATATGCTGTGATTCTGTAAATTTATTTTATTGGTAAGGAGTAATCCTGAATATTTTGGTTAAAAAATAAATAAGCAAACAAACCAAGAGATGTAATAAGGGTGCAACTCCAAAAGTGACTTCTTTGCCTTTCTCTGAAAAACAGCAACAGCTGTTATCTATGCCAAAGGCCCTTTTTAACATGCCTTATTTTCCCAAAGTACCGAAAGCTATTTTTTTATACATGTCAAAACCATGTCCAGAGAAGCCAAACAGGTGTAAAATTGCTTTGCCTAACCTGGACAGCAGAACGCATGGTTGAAATAAATTCCAGAGCCTCCTTCCTTGGAGTGCATCAAGTGGAGAAGGTCAGACCATGGTCATGGCAAGATTTTCCAGGTAAAACAAGGAAGAAGAATTCTGGGGGAGAGTGGGTAGAGAGAGGGGAGAGAAGAAAGATATGAAAACTGCCAGGTAAAGATTGTTCTGCTCTTGTGTCAGACAACATGTCATCGGCAAGTACCCAGGCACGCTCGTGAACATACAGGACACACGTCCTGCCATCTGCCAGACCTCCTCCTCTCATTGGGCTGGACGCCAACAACGCGAAATGCAATCCAATGGCATCCCGTACCCTCCTCCCAGTAAAGAGTTATTTTAAAACTTTAGGCTTAGTGCTCGGTAGCAACAGTGACCAGGGATAAAAGGGCAAAGAAGACGGGCAACGGAGGGAGCACAGGAGCAAGAGGAGGGGTAAACCCCACCAAAGCTGTTGCAAAACAGCTGCAGCATCAGCGGGGAGATCCGGGACAGGAAGAATGGCTCGGGGTCCGGGAGAGTCGGGGACGGCGTCCGAGCTCCGGCGAAGCACCTTGCGCCGGGCTCGGCGCCGGCTGCGGGGCTGCCCCGGCCCCGCCTGGCGCTGAGGGCGAGGCCGGGGCCGGTGTTCCCCTCCGGGGAGCGGAGCGGAGCCGGCACGGGAGGCGAGGCCGCAGGAAGTGGGCGCCCGAGGGGGCTGGCGCGGGGGCGGCCCCGCCC